TAAGGATAATTTCTTATTGATCCAGTGTTACTACAGGAGGAAACCTAAACTAAACTAACTTTATTTATACTTGATGGCTCTATCAGTTTCTAAAACTGTTCTCCATAGAGGTCCAGTATTAAGGATAATTTCTTATTGATCCAGTGTTACTACAGGAGGAAACCTAAACTAAACTAACTTTATTTATACTTGATGGCTCTATCAGTTTCTAAAACTGTTCTCCATAGAGGTCCAGTATTAAGGATAATTTCTTATTGATCCAGTGTTACTACAGGAGGAAACCTAAACTAAACTAACTTTATTTATACTTGATGGCTCTATCAGTTTCTAAAACTGTTCTCCATAGAGGTCCAGTATTAAGGATAATTTCTTATTGATCCAGTGTTACTACAGGAGGAAACCTAAACTAAACTAACTTTATTTATACTTGATGGCTCTATCAGTTTCTAAAACTGTTCTCCATAGAGGTCCAGTATTAAGGATAATTTCTTATTGATCCAGTGTTACTACAGGAGGAAACCTAAACTAAACTAACTTTATTTATACTTGATGGCTCTATCAGTTTCTAAAACTGTTCTCCATAGAGGTCCAGTATTAAGGATAATTTCTTATTGATCCAGTGTTACTACAGGAGGAAACCTAAACTAAACTAACTTTATTTATACTTGATGGCTCTATCAGTTTCTAAAACTGTTCTCCATAGAGGTCCAGTATTAAGGATAATTTCTTATTGATCCAGTGTTACTACAGGAGGAAACCTAAACAAAACTAACTTTATTTATACTGGATAGCTCTATCAGTTCTGAATCAGTTCTGAACTGTTCTTCCTAGAGATCCAGTAAGGATCATCGCTAATTGATCCAGTGTTACTACAGGAGGAAACCTAAACTAACTTTATTTACATTGGATAACTCTATCAGTTCTGAACTGTTCTTCCTGTCGAGATGCAGTAAGAATCACCACAATACACCTGGTCCAGTGTTACTACAGGAGTACCAAGAGAAAACCTGTGGGGTTTGGTAGAGTCAAACTGGAAGCACTCTTCTCACATGTGACTGAGGTGAAATTATAATCAGACAACTGTATATTGCAGGAATAAAACCTCAGTCACAGAGCTGAAACACACATGCACTAACTACTGTGTCACTGATAAAGATGAGAAGCTTTACGAACTAATGAAAACGTGGTGTTTTCACGAAACAATTCTTACCTTTTCTAAATTCGAAACAACAGACTTTAAGTGTTGTTCCTTTAAATATCTGCCGTGTTTCGTGCTAAAATAATTCACGACGCTGTACTCGCACAGGCCAACAAACACAAAAACAAAACAGCCAATATAGTACCAATCCAAAGCTTTTACATAAGAGACCACAGGCAAGTCTTGCTGGCCAACACCAATAATTAAAGTGGTCATGGTGAGGATGGTGGTAATCCCCATCCCCACTCTGGCTGGTGCACAATCACGGTCTACCCAGAAAGATAACCAGGATATTATCACCACCAACATCGCCGGGATGTAGTTGTGAGTCAGGTAGAACTCGAAGCGTCGATGAAAATGTATGTACAGGGTTAGCACAACAAAATCACCTAAAGAAAGAAATATTAACACTGGATCAATAAAAGATGATTCTTACTGGACCTCTAGCGAGAACAATTTAGAACTGATAGAGCTATCCAGTATAAATGAAGTTAGTTTAGTTTAGGTTTCCTCCTGTAGTAACACTAGATCAATAAGAGATGATCCTTACTGGACCTTTAGGAAGAACAGTTTAGAACTGATAGAGCTATCCAGTATAAATAAAGTTAGTTCAGTTTAGGTTTCCTCCTGTAGTAACACTGGATCAATAAGAGATGATCCTTACTGGACCTTTAGGAAGAACAGTTTAGAACTGATAGAGCTATCCAGTATAAATAAAGTTAGTTCAGTTTAGGTTTCCTCCTGTAGTAACACTAGATCAATAAGAGATGATCCTTACTGGACCTCTAGAGAGAACAGTTTAGAACTGATAGAACTATCCAGTATAAATAAAGTTAGTTTAGTTTAGGTTTCCTCCTGTAGTAACACTGGATCAATAAGAGATGATCCTTACTGGACCTCTAGAGAGAACAGTTTAGAACTGATAGAACTATCCAGTATAAATAAAGTTACTTTAGTTTAGGTTTCCTCCTGTAGTGACACCTGTAGTGACACTGGATCAATAAGAGATGAATACAAGACTACCTCTAGGGGAGAACAATTCAGATCCTTACTGGACCTGTAGTAACACTGGGAGAAAACAGCTTGGTATATAATAGAGTGATACCTACCCACAGTGTAGTGATTCACATGGCTTGTGGTCTCAATCTTTCCAATGTCAAATTGTGGTATGACTAATTCATTTTTTAACACCGATGTTTCGGTTTTGTTTGTCAACCATTTGTAGATAATATTTTGCGTTGTGTGGCCATCTATATAAAACAGAAAAATACACTCTAATCAGTACAGACAGCTGTTCTCAATGCCCATGTGGTTCATACATAAACGGATCATCACTTACAACTCAAAATGATCAAGTTGCATTTTTGACTGTCCATTGGAAAATCGTAGAATACCATTGGACAAGATAGCGTCAGGGTCAACCTATATGACAAACACGGGATTAACATAACTCAAACCTTTTTTATACTGAATAAATATATCAGTTCTGAACACTAAACTACCTTTATTTATACTAGATAGCTCTATCAATTCTAAACTGTTCTCCCCAGAGGTCCAGTAAGAATAATTTCTTATTGATCCACTGTTACTACAGGAAGAAAGCTAAACTAAACTAAGCTTTATTTATACTGAATAGCTCTATCAGTTCTGAACGGTTCTTCCTAGAGGTCCAGTAAGGGTCATCTCTTATCGATCCAGTGTTACTACAGGAGAAAACCTAAACTAAGCTTTATTTATACTGGATAGCTCTATCAGTTCAAAACTGTTCTCCCTATAGAGGTCCAGTAAGGATCGTCTCAACCCACCTGGTGCTGTAGTAAACCGTGCCGTCTTGAAACAATCGTAGAAATTGATTCTTTCTCATAAGTGTATGGACCTTGCCTTCCTTTTCGTTTTCAAAGTAAGCATCGGGGAGCCAGATTTTATCCCAAACGTAACCAGGAGAAAATCCGATATATTCTTTATCTGTGAGGTTTAGACCATCATAGGCTAACCTTGGGTCTCTCCAAGTTTGTCGAAAGTATACTTGCATGTCGAACTCCTGAAATTGAGATAATAGTCAACAAGCAATACAGAGCAGCGTGTGGAAACTGTCGACACAATTTTATTTACTTGCTATCTAATACAAGACTATAATACTATACATATGATGAAAAGAATGAACATTATTTTCTCACTCTGATAACTGCGGGTTGAACACCATCTGCTGCACGATAGTGCTTAGTAAAACCCACAAATAGAGAGAATCGATGGGTATATAGTGACTTTAGTGTTACTGTATTAATCTTCGATCAATCTTACCATTTTTGATTCTTTGATATTATTTATAGAAACAATGTATATTCCAACACTGACAACAACTGGCTTTCCTGTGACAATAATAGGAAGGATTCAGATTAGGTCAACTATAAACTTTATTTATACTGGATAGCTCTATCAGTTCTAAACAGTTCTTCCTAGAGGTCCAGTAAGGATCATCTCTTATTGATCCAGTGTTACTACAGGAGGAAACCTAAACTAAACTAACTTTATTTACAGTGGATAGCTCTATCGGTTCTAAACTGTTCTTCCTAGAGGTCCAGTGAAGATCATCTCTTATCGATCCAGTGTTACTACAGGAGGAAACTTAAACAAAGCTAACTTTATTTATACTGGATAGCTCTATTAGTTCTAAACTGTTCTTCCTAGAGGTCCAGTGAAGATCACCTCTTATTGATCCAGTGTTACTACAGGAGGAAACCTAAACTAACTTTATTTATACTGGATAGCTCTATCAGTTCTAACTGTTCTTCCTAGAGGTCCAGTAAGGATCACCTCTTATTGATCCAGTGTTACTACAGGAGGAAAACTAAACTAACTTTATTTATACTGGATAGCTCTATCGGTTCTAACTGTTCTTCCTAGAAGTCCAGTAAAGATCATCCCGGTCTATTATTACTACAGCGTAACTGCCTGTGATATTTGGTAGAGTCAAACTGGAAGCACTCCTCTAACATGCGATTGAGGTGAAATTATAATCAGACAACTGCATATTGAAGAAATGAAAAATCGGTCACAGAAAACTATCCAGTTATCAGCGAACTAACCATCTTCACAAGGACGCATGGCTTTATCGTATCTGTCTGGGTGGAATAATTCCTTGACCGAGTTCACATCATTCAGACAAGTTCTACAAAAAAAGAAACATTTTAATTAAACTGATGACAATTTTGAAGAACGTCGGCCTGTTCTCCACTTTAACCGTATACCATAACGTTCCGTGGAATATTTTTGTATCAAAGTCATTTGTTCCATTCTTGTGCTCAAGGGAGAAGAAATACGCTCTGTTTCGGTTGCACGGGACAGGATGAAGTCGGAGCCATGCCTTGTCAACAAGATGTGTTCGCACTGCTTGTTCCCAGTTGTTGACAAGTTGAAAACAAGTTGTTATCATCTTGTAACAAGGTTGATGATGCCAAGTTGCCAACAGGCTCGTAACAAGTTGTCCCAACAAGTTGTTAACAAGTTGATGACAACAAGCTCGTACTGGGCAACTTGTTACGAACAGCCTGTACTAGTCTTGTTGGAACAACTAGTAACAAGTCTGTTACCGTCATCAAGTCTGCATTACCGTCATTGCCGAAGGCGAGGTGATTATCGGGGAATTATTATTTACCCAAGTCGTTTGTGATTTTGGGACTGAATTTATTTTAATTTCGCTCATTTCTGTATCAGTAACTTCCACAAAACGGCTAGTGCCATTTTGAAAATTTCAGTTTTTTTATATATTCACCTGTAGTGTTGGTAAATATAACAGCTTAATACAAATTTGACCAATCAACTTGTAGGATTTGTGATATTCACTTGTGCAAAAATACTAAATCCTGATATCTGCTTGACAACAACCTTGCGCGCGCAGAACAAGAACCACACGAATTTAAGTACGCTTTCGAGTTCGTCCTGTCTGGGACTAATAAACTACGTTAAACTTACGTTGTGTTTGTTGTATTTCTTAAACTTTCGCCCCTTGATACGAAAACGACGAACAATGACAATATAACATAGATTGAACCCGACATGATTGTAACTAGATCCACACTACTACAGCTTCGCCACAATCAATTACCTATCTTCAAAAGAAAACATATTTATTGATTGAAACATAACAGTTGGAGAGTAGCATTTTCAACGTTTAAATGATCGACAAATTATAAATTTTTAATATCGATTATCATTAAATTCACAGGAGGTAAAATTAAGTCCCTTTTAATTTTAGTCTTTTTCGATTATAATATTAAATGGCAGAAAAAGATTGTAGAAAAATGGCAACTTTGGAGAAGTTTCAAATCTTTTTATGCGGAAACAGAAATGCCGGAAACTTGCAACAAAAACGGATTTCAACGCATGTTAATTCAACAACGTTCGCGTATAAGTTACACTTGGGATAGCAGTATAACTTGTAAATACATGCATCTTTAATTAACATGCGTCTATAAGTCAGTTTTAGAGTTTCAAAGTTAGAAAAATTTTGTTTATCAAAAGTACGCTTTCTTGAGAGACAATGTATTTGTTAACGATAATTAAGTCACCTTAATGAAAACGACAATTAATATCGGCAGAGTTAAAGCAGCGTGTTAACACGCTATATACAAGATTATACATTCTAGACGGAAATTTTTTTTGCCTCATTTTTCTTGCCGCATTTTCGCATTGTGAAGTCTATAGTGACAAACGAATGATGATTTATGACGACATTATTTGCGAAAATAATCAAATTTTTATGTCTTAAATTATTCAAAAGCTAAAAATTATAGTAGTAACTAATGAAGTAGCGAATGTTTCCAGATATATTCATCAAATTGAAAGGTCAAATATTAAAGCGAAAAATAGTGTCAAACGTACATCCGTTTTCAGTTGTCAACGTCTTGTTTGATGTTTAAAAACAGCCTGAAAAGAAATAACGCCGCCGTCGCCGGCAAAAGCCCGTGCATGCTGTTAGTGCAATAAAAATGCAAAATATATCTGCACAAAAACATACAATAATGCAGGGGGATATACTACTCGCGTAATGAGGGATGATATTACTTCTGACTACATAGAAACTGCGTTTTAAACGGAAAAATCGCGAATTTACTATATATGCATATAGTTTTATCTAAAATACTGCCGTATCTTGCTGTATATATAGCAATAAAAATAAAATGCTTATGTTATGTATATTTTATTCTTGTTGGCGGAAATGAAACCGGTTAGTTGTAATATACGCTGTACACGCAATGTACGTTTTATTGATTATATAGGTCATATATAGCAGGATATGTAGCCAAGGCTAGAGCCAAAAGAGTCCAAAGACCTCAAGATATATAGTGATGATTTGTAAAATGAATGGTGAGTTAACAAACAGACGTTTTATAAAAGATGACGACTTAATTCTAAGTATCAATATTTTGTTGCCATCACACTCGATTGAATAGTTGCAGAAGGTCCTGCGATTCTAGTGACAATAAAAAATTTAACCGGTGAAATATTTCCGACCGTATTAACAACCGATGCAAGACTAAATTGTGTCTCAATCGACTGCACAGGTTGAATCCAGTAAACTAGCACAGACAATGCATGATTTTCACTCCGAAGAAGTACTTTGAATGTACTTTCAATCTTTGAAACAATATTGCATTACTTTAATATATCTGCAAAGTTTAACAATGACTAATGTGCAGTCTGGCGAAGACTTTCCCCTAAACATTTTCGAAGACTTTAGTCCCAGTTTTCTTCATAAAGAAAAGATAGAGGTTCGTCTCGTAATTTGATTGCGAATAAACACGCAGCGCACAGACGGAGCCGCCTGTGAAGACAAACAATATACCCAGGCATGATTGTATGCGTCACTAGGGAAACGAATGCAAATAAATACTTAACTCTATAACAGAAACACGAGTTGAAAATTGAAGTTGAGTTGAAAATTGAAGTTGAGCTGAAAATTGAAGTACAAAACCTGTTTGGGTGAATATTATATACGATTTGGGGCATTTCATTCGATAGAAAAAATTGTTGAGGCCTGAGGGGTGTTGTATTGAAGAAAATTTCGATTATGTATAAACTTTATAATTATACAATTAATAAAGTAACTATGACTCGAAACTTCTCAACAATTATAGTAAAACCCCTCCTCATTGGCAATTGTGGATCCTCTTCACAATGTAAATAAACGAGCCTTGTGGAGTTACAGTATTTTTTAAACACTGTATGGGGCCATTATAATTTAGATACAATGAAGAAGAAAAACTTACCAAGATTAAAGATATCTTTGATCCAGTTATTTCATTAACCAGAGACGTCTTATCACACGCAAGACACGTTCCTAAAACATCGTCCAGCCACCTCCGTGCTTCTGATAAGTTGTGGGCCAAATTATGTATAAAAATAGCATAATAGCATAAAGTAGCAGGTCCTGTACCATTAAAGCGCAAATCAATTAATTCATAAATATTACGAGACGTTTTGTTTGGTTTTCTTTTCTTGTTTCTTCTAGAAGTCTCCGTAACACTTAACGTTTTTGAATATATGCATCACGCCGTATGCGCCCGATTAAAATTCATATAAATGCCTGTTATTTTACAAACATTGTCGTTGTTCAAATGTACTGACTGGATTTCAGTACATCATAAGCAACACGACAGGTACTTTTCGTATTTCTACTAGGATAGTTAACACTAAGACAATGCAAAAGTTTCAATATAGTTTCATATACACAAGATCTATAATGCATATCTAGTAATTTTAAATATATATAGGATTAAAATTATGTTCACTTCTTTGTGGCCATTGCCGTTACCATGTCAGCCAATGGGTTTGTTTAGAAAATCATCGTTTGAGATCATTTGAATTTTATACATAAAAAGTTTATTTGAACTAGGCTACAAGGCATTATAATATAAAGTAATTTGCAGTGAAATTTACTTTGCATTTTTAAATGTGGATATAGATTTGTGGATTGCAAAACCTCAAGCATACATGCAATAAAAATAACGAAACAAAATACAAAACTGTAACTCAGAAAAGAAACATTTTAATTTAATCCACGTTTTGTATTATGCATGCAATATATGTCATAGGATTGTTTTGTCTGCAGACAACACCGCATTTATTTATTTGGAAAAACGTTTGAGCTGCGACTGTGGACAGCAGCGCAAATCATGAGTAAATAATTAATCAGTGACAGTGTGTGTAATATAACATTATTTGAACTGAGGAAGATGGGAGCTTACGAAAGTTTTGCCAAATAAATAAATGGGACGACAAGTCACTATTAGACTGCAACGACACATAACATAACCTTTTTTCAATGTTGTAAAACTAAAGTCTGTATTTTATCTGAAGTAATTTTGTTGTGTTGTCCATACACCTCTCTCAGCAAATAATGCAACATTGAAATGGTTTACAATGTGAACTGGCACAATATAATTATTTACAAGAATAACCTTTCGTGCAATCAAAGTGTCCCACATTTCAATGTCACTGATTGTATAGCTACGATCATTTTCAAAAGTTGTTACGACACTTGCGGCTTTAGAACATCCAAATTATTAAACATTTATACCTCCCTCCCAATTCAATGTTGTTTAACCGATCACACAGCAAAGTAAGATGATAACTGAGACTCAACATTGAAAGGGGAATGGAAGTTTGACAAGAAAATCGGTGGAAGTTAAGACATCTGTCCAACACATTTGAAAATGACTGTAGCCTCACACAGATTCCCTGAGCTGATTGAGACTTTTCAAAGCTTGTTACAAACAGATATACAGTACAGACTTTCGCCCGTACTCTAAAAGCTCACTCACACTCAATGAGTGGAGGTTCACTCTGAGAAGCCTTGAGTGCCAATGCTGTTTTTCAATAGCTGGAAGGTGAGTAGTCACATAGTAAGGTATGACACTCACCCTCCTGCTCTTCAAAAACAGCTAATGACACTCAAGAGAAGCTCAAATTGAACCTCCACTCATTGAGTGTGATCTTTTAGAATACGGGCGTTAGATTCTGACATAGACAATGTTTCAATCTTCAGCTGTTCATTATTAGACGCAAACGAGGTACTTCAGGCGCTCTCACTAAATCCATGGCTATTGGTGGCGGTCACTGGGATATTGCTGCCGACTTCACCTGTTGACGATGACGTCACTTTTGCGGATGCCGTCTGTGTTGCTGACGACGTCTTGGCTTGGTATTGCACGGCGCGGGCAGGGATCCGAGCCTGAGACCGAGCCCCTCCACAGAGCATTCGAACGGATTCTCTAAAATTGGGCAGCCTGAGCGCATAGATGAACGGATTCATGCAGGAATTAAGGACGACGAAGAGAAAGGACAGATCTCTGAACCAGTGGATTGCTTGACACGAACAGCTTGTGCAGAAATTCATCAGATAGATCATTAACAACGAGGGAGTGTAGCACACGCAGAATACAATCAACATCAGCATGAACGCACGAGTAATTTTCTCTTCGTTTTTCAACGCGTTGTTGCGAGCGCGGTTCTCCTCGCTGGACCCTTGCATCGCGTTAAGCTCGTGAATTTGAGCACGCAATGCGAGATGTACACGCACGAAGGCGAACACGAGTACGAAGAACGTCACCAACACGGCGGCATTGCCAAACACGAAAAAATACCACAGGAAGCCGATTTTGCGTTGAAGAAATGGCAGCGCGATCGAGATCATCCAAATCACGACCGAGCTTACTAATGCTCGTTTGTTACTTAAGGTGGCTCTGTACTGTAGCGGTGACGTAATAGCAATGTAACGATCGATTGTGAGCATGCCCAGACTGAACACGGACGCTGTACAAGCTGTAAAGTAGAACGGCTGAAGAAACACGTGATATTTCAACGGGAAGCCGAACGCTTCACGAACGTGTACGACGGCTCCCAACGGCTCGACCACCAGCCCGACGAGCAGATCAGCAATTCCAAGATTCAGGATGAACCAGTTGAACGGTGTGCGCATTTTGCCGTTCGGGTTTTTGAGAACGACCACAAAGACCAAAAGGTTTCCAGGAATTGTGATGAGAGCGAGGAATCCAGAAACGCATGCGTTTGTGTACGAGATTTCATCGTTGGGCCACACCCCTAAACAGCGTTGTTGATTGACATTGAGACTTGACATGATTCCGCTTTACCTTCACAAAACGACAAATATAATATTAAAAAAACAAACCCAATGCTATCAAGAAACAATGCTATCAAAAAACAATGCTATCATTATAATCCAGCAGTAATTTTTTTAAAATTGGATGTATCAGAACTACCAGAGTGTATTTTAGTTTACTACTTTATTAAACGAGGGTAAAACACATGACAATAAAGTTATACTGATGACCCTGTGGCCCATATGTGACTATGTTACAAAATAAATGCCTATCTCTAACCTTACGTATATATCACAAATTAATATAAGTACTCTATCTAAATAGTAAAAATGTTCTTTGATAGTCTTAGAAAAGTTTTTGTTTAAAATAGTTAATATTTTTAGTTTCTTTGAGCTCTGTAATCAAACTGTTCCAGTCTTTAATAGTTCGAACAGTAAATGTTCGGCCCCCCTTCCCCTGTGGCCTTCATAAAACGAGGACAAACTAAATTTAGTGCCGAGAACCTAGACTGTACAAGGTAAAGCTGAATAAAGAAATCATGCAGCTATCACATCACGGCTTTGGAGAGTGGAAGAAATCCTCTCACATACGACGAAGTAACAATACTAACACGAGGTTAAACATTCGGTAAAAATACTTAGGGCCACAAGTTTTTCAGTTATATTGCTGTCATGTGTTTTTACCCTCTTTAAATAAAGTCATTCATTCATTCATTCCTTCTACCCCTCATAAAAGCTTTCAAAATAATTACCTTAAATCCAAGAGCACCAAAACTGTAGTCAGTGGCTGTGTCAAACCTCTAAACTGGGTGAGCACAAATATACAGCATGAAGCTCGCATCAAAAATGAGTTTCCAGCCCATTGTCAACAAGACAAAATCAAACTTGAAATCCAATTAACAGCAGCGGCGTTTCTTTCGAGCTTCAAAATTTTAATGGAATTCTCACACCTTCTTTTTACCTAGAAGATTGCTTCAAAAACACAGTAATATATCTGTTCCCACATTTAACACGTCGCCCGGAAATTAAGTCGCTGTTATAGTAGTTACTTTGAAATATTCATTAAAAAATATTGGTTATAATTCCTTTGAACTTCATAGTTCCTTACGAGAAAAAAGATTTTTTAGCATTTTTTATATATTCATCAAAAAAAAGTTTAAATATTCTTCTCATTTCATACTATAACGGGTTTGCTATAGGGTGAATAATATACCTGTACAATTCCTAATAATTAGATATTAGATCAAACAGGAAAAAATCGTAATTAAGTAGATAAGTTTTAAATGTAAATACTGTAGTATAAAGTGCCATTGTTCTACTGGAAGAAATGGCGCAGCTATATAATGATTAAATACTATTTTTAACTGAAGACATACGAATTATTACAGAACGTCATTTCCTAGCAATTAAATGAAATACGCGAATTGTTTCAATTGATAAAGAATTATCTCGCTGCATAATGTATTTTCTAACAGGGATGGAGGGAAACGGCATACGGTGACAACAGCAGCTGACAATATTCGAAAACGTGACGAGACGAAAACCTGAAGGAATCGCAGTGCTTAAACGTAAATGAACATAACATCTTTTTTTGGAAAATTCTGTCATATTTTTCAACTAGAATTGATTTCTAAGACATAAATGATTTGAAGGTAGAGCGCAGTTCTCGAGGTCTATATACATGTAAACTAAAACTGTACAACACCATGATGCGGTCCAAATGAATGTGAACATAACAAGTTTGTGTTTCACTGGCGAGTAAATTTTCTCTTTTGCAGTTTCTCAGAGTTCATTCTCTTCTTTCTTACAGCAAGCGGCTGCGCGCGCAGTCATTTTGTGCTGACGTTCTAACGCGCTTTCTAGAGGTATGGATAATTGTGTATAGAAGCCTACGTTAGGGGATATCCTGGAACTCCCAAAAGTCTCTTTCGTATCCTTCATTTACGTGATCCAGTAAGACCTTTCGTCGCATTTCACAGTATCTGAAATATATCAATAAATTTATCAAATAATAGATTATATCATCAATCTCTCAAACACACAATAATCATTGAAGACAATCAATTCAACAGTATAATGGAAATGTACTCAGCCAATAAATATAATCAATACAATTAAACATATAATAAATCAATCACTAATCAATGAGGTAACCAATCAATTCATGGAGAAAGTTATTACTCAATCAATCAGTTGATGATGTAATCAATTAACCAATCGATCACTTGATTGTGTAATTAATTTTTCAATCAATCAATCAATCAATCAATCAATCAATCAATCAATCAATCAATCAATCAATCAATCAATCAATCAATCGATTGATGACATTAATTATTCAATCAACCAATGAATTGATGATGTGATTAATTATTCAATCATCAATATACCTGTATTTATCTTGAACTTTCTGTTTTATGCAACCGAGATTTTCTGAACTGATGTCGCGTTCCAGATATTCAGAGAGCGTCTCAGTCGCCATTTCTACGTCTTTCTGGTTGTCCTGAAATAAATAACGTTAGTTTGGTAAGGCCGGATTTCACAGCAAACATTTCACGGCAGCAAATGGCGGGTAACTTCAAGACACTTGTATTAACAAGAAAATTAAAATAAACGTCTCAATTCTACTTAGTTGCCTCCAAATACAAGACTACTACATACAATGAAAAGAATGAACATTATTTTCTCACTCTGATAACTGCGGGTTGAACACCACTGCTGCACGATGGTGCTTAGTGAAACGAGACTGTTTAAAAAATTGATGTCCATACCTCGAATATCACTGTCTGATTGTTCTTCTGAAGATAGAAGGCGAAGACGTAGGTATACTTTAACGTATTACGACACATTGAGAGAACTTTGACAGCCTTCGTCAGGAACTGAACCTGGATTCAAATATACATGTACTTTACTTTTTGTGTGTTGGTCTTATGTACTCAGGTGAATATGATGTTTGTGATGTTACTCTGAGTGTGTATCCACACCGGGCGCAAGCTGAAACACCGGGCAAGCTGGCCACGGTGAGAACTGAACCTGGATTCAAATATACATGTACTTTACTTTTTGTGTATTGGTGTTATATACTCAGGTGTATATGATGTTTGCGATGTTACTCTGAGTGTGCATCCACACCGGTTTGCCTGACCACGGTGGGAATCGAACCCCGCGACCGTTGGGATACTAGTTGGTAGAGCATTGGACTGGTATCCCAAAGGTCGCGGGTTCGATTCCCACCGTAGTCAGGTAAACTGTTCAGCTTGCCCGGTGTGGATGCACACTCAGAGTAACATCACAATCATACATGTACTTTGTTATTGGGACATTACTGGGACATCACAGCAAGAGCCAATCACTTCTGAGATTCCATTCTCATTCAGGACTCAAGACCTTCATGTGAAAAGAGTGAGTCAACGCTCTGCCGAAAGTCGTGGGTTTTCTCCCAGTAATCCAGTTTCCTTCCACAAGAAATGTTGACAAGCAGGGTGGGGTAATAGATTTGGAGTACAGATATACGTTTTACACCCCACTATTAACCCATGAGCAGAATACAGAGGAAATGAGCACATTGTCTTGATGTCAGGTTAGGTTTTCTTTGCGTCTACCTCTATCCACGACATGTTGTGTTTCTGCATTTCATTCATTTTCGTCACCACTTTTGCCTCGAGCTAATAATAAAACAAACAAAATACGCTAAAGATTATGGCGTTATAATAAGTGCAGGGCTCAACATATAAACGGCCGGTCAACGGACAATAACCAGCCAAAAATGCCTCTTGACCGGCCACAGTTTCATGCCTTCCAATGTGATTGCTGATGTCTTGAATTAAAACATGAAACTATGATGTATCGAAACAAGTCTCTAATAGTTTGTTTCACTGTTAGTGTAAGCGTATCAATGACCGGTAAAAAACAGATTTTGACCGAGCTAAAATAAAGTTGACCGGAGACCTATCTCCCGTTATTTTGAGCCTTGTTAAAGTGTCCTACAATCAAGCTTAAAAGTACTTCAAAGCTCTGTATGGATTATTCCAGCTAGAGACTAAATTTTGATCTAGGCAAGAAGAACAAAATCCATTACCATAGCTAGAAAGAGCATGTTAAAATTAGTAAAATTGCAAAATTTGGTTGCAAAATGTTGTAAAATGAGGAAAGTATATAGCCCTGTGAAATTTGCAAATTTTGTATTAATTTGTATTACGCGCGGGCGTGCGTAATACAAATTAATATCTATTTTGTTCTTCTTGCCTAGATCAAAATTTAGGGACTGGTCATAAAGTAATTGCTAGGGTGGGCTGGAGGTAAATCACAAATTTTGCCAATAAGTTCGGTGACCCATCTTAGGATGTAGATAAAAATTTAAAAGCCCATCTAATCTTACAAAAAAATTTTCATGACCCACCCAATCTAAATTGGAAAAATATACTTTTATAATAAAAAAACTTGCAGGTATGAACATTGTAAATATACACGGCACTGTATTGACATACATAATTCCACCAAGCTTACATACTGAGCTGCTCTCCAAAGTATTAGCTTCAATAGCATCATTTGCATTTGATAATTTGGATAGTTTTGTTTACTTTTATTATTAATATCTTTATTTTTTGAAGTATAGATATGCATGGGTTTTTGTTTGGTGGCCCAACCGTGGACATACAAAAAAATTGGCGGCCCATCAAAACTGCCCAAAGGCAAAGATTTTCCACGGCACATCTCAAATCACTCCAGCCCACCCTAGCAGTTACTTCATGACCGGTCCCTTAGTCTATAGCTTGAATTGGCTATTGAAGAAGAATGGTAATTACCTCACATTCCAGCTTGGCACTCTGTATATGATTCATATATCTGTTGCAATAGAATAGATATCTTTCCAAAGACGATCGTGATTTCTACAATAAACAGCAGAGTCAGTACGTTGTATTTCGTCCAACGTTCCCACAAACTAGACAGTGTTTATTGAACTGTATAAACTTACATTTTGAGAAAGCTGCAGATTAAGATTTGAGAGCGATTCAACCACCTGAAAAATACAACGAAAGACGAAAGGCCATCACTTGAAACGGCGAACTTTTACTTGTATTTTTCAAGGGAGTTGAAATCCTCTCATTCTGCAGCATTCTGATGTTATTCTCACTAGCTAAGCTTGCACAGAGACCGTTCCAACTTACATTTTGAGCCTCTCTCGCATTCTGTGAGTCTTTCTCATCAAAACGATTACAACTATACCTGAAATATTAAAAAAGAAAATGCGTTTGATTACGATAACAGTTATACAAGAAGTTCCGCATATATATTTTTCAGGTAGTTGTAAATCTGTACTCAGGCCTTAAAATATCGGTCAGTCACGGACAATGTCCGACCCATTCGCGAAATTGTCCGACGTAGTGAGGAAACCACCAGACATTCTGTCCGACCTAATTGAAACTGAGGTTTATTGTTTGTCCGACCCAAGTGTATTGGTGTCCGACCGAATGGTAACTTTGTCCGACGTAAATCAATATGTCGTCGGCGGCGAGCGAAATGGTGAAGTGGAAAACGAACTTAAGTGTCGACATCTTACTGTTGTTATTGGCATTCAAGTTAATTTTGGCTTGGAAATGAGTATGAATGACAAAAATTATTTAATATCTTCATAACATTTACCGTTCAGAATTAATACATTATGCTGATATTTGTGTCATTCAGACTTATTTCCGAGCCAAACTGAACTGAAAATCATCGGACATCATCATACATATGTCCGACCCAAACTGTAAGTCATTGGACATTTTGTCAGACGGCCCTGTAAAAGATGGCCTGCTGTACACTGGCACATATAAGAACAACCTGAATCCATGACTTACCAGTTAGATCCATGAGGCTCCCACGGTCCTAGACACACCCAACAAAAATCAGCCTGAAAAAAAGCCATAGAGACATTTTATGACAAATTCCTCTGTCATGAGGAACGAGGCAAACTCAAAAATTATCGAAAGACTTCGGCAATTATTTGCCGAGGCAAAAATAGTTGAATTTCGAGGGTTGTGATTACAATTAGTACCGAGACACATTTCACTACACTTTACATGGCGGACCTTGGAACACAAGTGGAGCCGCTGAGCAGGGTCTTAGCTAGGATTTTAGATCTTGGGCATGTTTCTAAATGACCAGGGTGTGCACATGTCAATTACCTCAAATAGCCAAATTCACGGTTCTAGTTATGCTCACCAACAACAGACAATACCTGTGGTTGTTCTATGCTTTGCAAGTTATTTCAGCAACTCTTGGGGGCATTTAAAACCATTTTAACACCATACAGTTCCCATTATCCATCAAAACATTAAAACATAGATTTTACAAACGTAGATTTTACAAACTTTCTTACGACGTACAGTAAATAGGAAGAAATTCTGTCTGTTATTTTATGAACCTAAACACGGCCTTATAAAAGTAATGAAACCGTGTTCATTTTATCTAGCCGTGTTTTTCCCTTTTTGGCCGCGATAACACGGCCAACACGGCCCTCTAGCTAAGACCCTGCCGCTGAGCGAAGGCGGGAAAGGGCGAAGGGACAAATTCTGTGATATAAAATGTCCTGTAATGCACAGTAAGAGTTTTCTTGTCTACGTCGTACCATATTACCTTGCAACTATTGTTCCGACAGACCATGTGATTACATCCACCATTTTTCTCGATTGTTACTTGACACTTTGGACATTCCTAGAACATCATCAAATTGATGAGCACATTTTAAATACTGTATGTTTTATCATGGACAGTTTCTATCAGTGTTGTAATGAGTCAAGTCATTGACTCAGACTCGAGATGCAACTTTCTGCGACCCAAGTACAAAAAATGACTCGACTCGAGTCAACAGCTGCAAATGACTTGACTCGAGTCAACAGCCGCCAATGACTCGATTGTGTAGCCAGTGGCTGGACTCGAGTGAAGCCATTGACTTGACTCGACCAATGACCATATATAGTAAAATGACTCGACTTGTGACTCAATCTTTGGGTGACTCAACTTGTGACTTGACCTGTTGGTGACTTGTTACAACACTGGTTTCTATGCTGCAGAATGAAGGTACAAACCTTAGTATTTGCTGAAATCCAATTTGCAGTCTCACTGTCATCATTGCATTTCTTAATCCATTGCTTTAACAACTACATAAACAAAGCACAGCTAAAGTTAAGAATTTTGCAATAAGTTTGATGGATAAAACAGTATGATAATAAACAAGCAAGGAAAAATCAAATATTATCCTTGAGTTTGGAAAAAGGTCAAATTTAAGTAGTTTCTACGAAATGAGGAAAATGATGTTTAACATCTCACGTTATCTGGCAATAGATTCCACTCCCTAGGTATATCGATACCGGATATTCAACCATACCGAAATTTCGGATATACCAGAATTTTTCAGCATACCGTGTTAAATTTACCAACTATATGGCAAAACCATAACCTTTATTTTACTACTGAATAGCAATTCAAAGAACTTTCTACTGCAATGATTTAGAATTTCCACTTCAGCGAGATTTTACACTGAGTACGTGCATGTCGTTCGAAACATGTTCGAAATTATCGTTTTCCCTTTTAGAATTTCCGATACTGGAAATTTCTCATATCGAACATTCCTACTGTGATCACAATAGGAATTTTGCATTGGTAAATTCTACGTTTTGAAGGATTTGTAAGAAATGTTTGAGGGATGCAAATGAACAAAACTGTTACTGTCGTTCCAATTGAAGTGTTGCTCAAATATTGATTCAATAAATTACCTCGGGCTGACCAATTCATTTCATCAAGTTCCTCGAGATATTCATACACTTCCTAGTATAATTGTAAACTTCCTATTGAATAGTTTGAATGCACCAATCACCTTTGTTGTTTGTGCAACTAACCAATCATAAATAGAAAGGAAGTGACCAGAAATGATCAAATACTTGGAATTGGCTCTTTCACAGGAAGTGTATGAATATCTCGAAAAACTTGATCAAATGAATTGGTCAGCCCGAGGTAATGTATTGAATCAATATTTGAGCAACACTTCAATTGGAACGACAGTAATTACTGCACATAAAAAATAACTAGTACGACTTACGGAACAATTTACAGGCTCATGAACTGGTTCTGTACAACCAAAGCTGGAATGTAGAATAAAAAGTATAAATATAAAGTGTATGATAAAAGATGAATGGAATTGACTACAATATTTATTCCATACCAAAATTCATGGCGACATAAACATGTTACAGCATTTGCATCTGAGTAGCTGGCTTTGACAGCGTTCATACAATCCGGTGCCGGGCACCATTTTATTAAGCGATTATTCTAAAATAAAAACGATTCATGATGAACAGAAAAATAATAAAAAAACATAAAGCATTCATGTACAGCAAGGGATGAAATTCAACTTACTACAACAAAGCTATTAGCTATGAGATGGTGATACTTTCTTTTTACTATTTGATCATTCAAAATTCGTCTGGAAAAACAAAGCAATATATATTACTGTTTTAAATACAACAAAGTCAAATAACATGCAAAACAGACAATAATACTTACCCTACAAAAGTTTCATTTACTAAAATGTCGCATTTTACTGCTGGGCATGCAATATTCTAGAAAACAAATAAATTGTACTTTATAATTTTGAACACTGTTTAATTAATTGTGATGTTTATTTTCAAATATCATGTACCGGTATAGATAGGTTTCATTACTCACGATTTCAGTTTGCTTTTCAAAACTGACTTCCAATGTTTACTTGTAAATTCGAAATGTTCGTTGTAAAGTTCCGAAGTTTGTTTCGAAGTTCGTTCCGATGATTTACGATAATCAAGTTTAGTAAGTTGTAATTGGCTAGTTAAGTGAACCAGCCAATCAAATTGCTTGCTATTGAATCATCGTAAATCATCGTAACAAACTTTGAAACAAACTTCGGAACTTTACAACGAACATTCCGAATTTACAAGTAAACATTGGAAGTCAGTTTTGAAAAGCAAATTGAAATCGAGAGTAAAGTGTGACTAACTTCAAATATAATTTTTGGTATGTGTAATATTTAGGTCATTGTAAAAATAAATGTTTAATACAGATCTTTATAGTAAAAATCTCATCTTGATCAACTTTTTCACTGTCAAAGTTCCAGATATGAATGTCATTAGGTGAATTTTTGGTACAAAAAACAAAGGAAAACTAATTTGCAATTCACCTAATGACATCATATCCGCAAACTTTGGCAGTGAAAAAGCTGATCAAGATGGGATTTTTTGTTAAAAAGATATATTACATTTCGTCTTCGAATGACCCAAATATTATGCATACCAAAAATCATATTTGTGGTTAGTTGCACTTTAAGAACGATCGTGCCAACAGATGATGGTCAATCTGTAGTTATCAGAGTGAGAAAATAACACTTTCATTATACCATACATATACAAAGTTATAACTAGTGTACCCACTTTTTTGTGCATGTGCTCGGCAAGTTACTAGATGGACGAATCCTATTGGATGAAATTGGATGACGATCTGCTTTAACTGCTCGCAGAACTTGCCGAGCACGCGCAGTTGATCATTTTTTGCCTGGTCGTCTGAAAAAAGTGGGTACATGAAAACGTAAGCTTCCACAGTGTTTACGACGGCCAGTTACAGCTCTGTATGTCTCTACTCTGTGCTGCAACCTAGCAGAGGAATTTATAACGATACTCCATTTGCATTCAAGTGTTACCCCACGCCGTGTTAAGAAGTTGTTTCTGAGTTTTGCAACCAACGTTGTGGTTGGACAACTTTAAGTTTGACATGTCAAAATAGTGATGACTTGGCACGTAACTTTGCGTTGTCTTTCGTGTTGAGTTAAGACAATAACGAGGAATGCTTCAATGCAAATGGTAATATCTAATCTTACTTCTTTTTGTTCGTCCATAATTTTTGACGTCAGATATTCTTTCCAACAACGAGTACAAAATTCATGGTGGCATTCAAGGCCTTGAAACGTTTGCTAGAGAATATATTGAATACTATAATAAGAATAATCTTACCCAACCAATAAAATGTCAAAGCTGGATTATCATATTAGAAGTTGCTCATCCTTAAATATTTTTACAGGTAAACTATGTGAAGCGTTCCTCTTTTGAGTTTCTAAATTGATTGCAATTTTCCTCATTACTTTTGCAATTTAAAAAACTCCCTTGCAAATCCCTTGAGGAAATTTGCAATGTTGCTAAAAGCCAATAAATTTCTTAATCTTAATTTCCTGTTACAAGTTCCTAACTTCCTGTTCTGTTCTGGGTGTTGCAATTGGCTAACAAAAATAATCGACCAATAACAACGCTCAGAACAGAACAGGAAGTTAGGAAATTAAAACAGGAAGTTAGGAAAATTTAAAATGAAGTTTGGAATATTGCAACAGCTGATAGGAACGTTGCAAATTCCCTCAAGGGATTTGCAAAGAGTTTTTCAAAGTTGCAAAGCTAATGGAGTAAAATTCCAAATGAGTTACGAAGTCAAAAGAGGAACGCTTCACGTAGTTTACCTGTAAGACATTTTTATTCCGTCAAGCTTTTGAATAGTTGTTTACTTTATATAGATCGATATTTGATATGTAACATATTTGATATACTGTCATTTTTTTACACTTTGTAATGCGCATTTGAAAATTGCAAGATTGATAATTGCGCAATATAAATCAATAAATTATTATTATTATTAATTAAATACAAAGCTTCTTTCGAAACATTGCATCAAAAAGATACTTGACACAGGGATGAATGGCCATCATTGTTTCAATTTTACAGAAAAACTTTCTTACAAAGTGTCAACCCCAAACAACACATTTGTTAAATTTTCACTTTGATCTATCGTTTAGCCTTTCCCAAGGGGGGCGGGGCATGACGTTTCAGAAGAGGTGCAAAAATCTCAGGGGAGGTATGCACCCCTCCCCTCAAAATATGGCCATGTAAAAAGTATATACAGTACTCACAATATTAGTTGAAACCTGAAGGCATATATCACAGAAGGCGCTACTTGTCGAACCAGAATTTGAGCGAGATAATCTCTGCACTTTGTTCAAAGTAGATTGTGCCAGGGGATTGACTAGGTGAGCGTCTTTAAACAACTTCTCTTGGTCTCCACAATAATATCTAGAACAAGGTATGAAAATCACAGTAATAATTTTCTTTTTAGTAACGACCAGAAGGCTTTTTTTTATAACAAATTTAATAAATTGTAACAACGTTTCGGAGTTTGCTCCATCACCAGGTTACATTTATACGCACTAAAAAAACCCTGTAGTGAAATGTAACCTGATGATGGAGTAAACTCCGAAACGTTGTTACAATTTATTAAATTTGTTATAAAAAAAAGCCTTCTGGTCGTTACTAAAGAGAAAATTATTTATTACATTTAAATGAGGCTTAGAGAAAGTTCGCTTCTAATCACATTGAAAAATCACAGTGTCAAGGATCTAGGAAAATAGTTGGCCGATCTGTTCCAGCGTAAGTAGTGGCAATAATACAAGCTTTGGATTGACAGGGATACACCTACCTGAAAAGGGGCACTTCGATGTTTCAAGTCAAGGACCTTCATTGAACTAACTTCCCTAAAGTTAGTAGCTATCTAACGTCCCACAACTAACTTTGTGACGAAGGGCCTAGGATGACGAAGGGCGTTTTTGTCAACACAGAAGAATTTAAAAATCCTAAGTTTTGTCATATACGCAAACACGTTTTTTTTTAATCCAGTTCCGTCTCCGCAATCTGAAGTCTATGTTGACAAAAACGTTGCTTGTTACGTGATTCTCCTGATTCTCTTGGTTAATACAATTATAATGCTAACTACCTTTCGAGGAGTTTTTCTTTATCCCACTTAAAATGGCCCAGCAGAATTCTTGCAACCGGTCTTGTAAGCTAAAGAAAGCAATGGAAAGTAAGGCTTGTTTTCAACTAGTTTTCTAAGTTTTCTAGTAATAATAATAATAAATTTACATTTATACAGCGCTATTCCTAAAAAGTTCAAAAGTGCTTTACAAGAGTAGAATGGTAAAAATAATAATGTATAGTCTATGTTACAAGTTTAAGAATTATGTATAAAGTTACCAACTTAAATTACATTAGATATTAGATATATGGCAGTATTAGAATTATATTAAAATTATAGTACTAAAAAACTAACACAGTTTTAATACCACAGTATTAAATAAGTCAAAACTAAGAGAAGGCTTCAATAAAAAGCCACGTTTTACGACATTTTTTGAAACTGTTAGTAGAGTCTTTCTCTTTCAGCTCTACTGCTTTCTGTCTCAGCTCTACTGCTTTCTGCCTCAGCTCTACTCTAGTATTATAAGCGTGAAGCCAAGTTCAAATCTATTATGCACCATTAACCCAATGTGCCCTACTTTGAATTAATGAACAACTTTATTTAACGAGGGTAAAAACACATGACAGCAATATAACTGAAAAACCTGTGGCCCTCTATTATTTTACTTTGTATACAGCTGCCACGCAATGGGTTAATTCTTTAGGAAACACTGGTCCCCAGTGTCTATTGCTATATTGTGTTTGCCCCACTTGGAAAGATGGCGTCATGAACCCCAATATAGTGTATACATTTCCGTACATTGTAATTATCTTTAGATTACATAGAGCATAATTACAAGGCATAATATACATGTAAAAGTGTAATATATTAGTTTATCTAGAGTACGGTACTATTACTGTCGTTCCAATTGAAGTGTTGCTGAAATATTGATTCAATACATTACCTCGGGCTGACCAATTCATTTGATCAAGTTCCTTGACATATTCATACACTTCCTGTGAAAGAGCCAATTCCAAGTATTTGATCATTTCTGGTCACTTCCTTTCTATTTATGATTGGTTAGTTGCACAAACAACCAAAGGTGATTGGTGCATTCAAACTATTCAACAGGAAGTTTACAATTATACTAGGAAGTGTATGAATATCTCGAGGAACTTGATGAAATGAATTGGTCAGCCCGAGGTAATGTATTGAATCAATATTTCAGCAACACTTCAATTGGAACGACAGTAAAATGTCAAGATTACTAAACATTAGCTGTAGAATTTTTGAATTATTATTAGAAACATCTGTTCACAAAGTACAAATAATTAATACAACTGTAATTTTATATGCAACTCAAGCAGATTATTTACATAGATTTTCTTGCAGAAGGGGATTTTAAAAGTCAGTAAACAAACTAAATTGCAGTTGCAAATTACGTGTTTGTCTCCGTATGTTTTCCTGGCTTCTGATTGGTCAAGAAGATGTGGAACAAATATTCTGGGTTAGATAATTATAAATGGGCATGGGATAACCCATTGAGCGCCAGCACTTTGACGACTAAATCGTCTAGTGTTAGCCAGATTGAAGTAATAAAGTCGAGTGCAATGCAACTCAATGGGTTAAACTTCGATGAGCCTTTCTTCTAACCCAATAAGCTGCATTGCCCATTGCTGTGCCCTGCTTTATTATTTCACTGTCCAATGCCACACATGCTTTTGCTCGTCAAGCAGAGAGCACTTTTGCTCAATGGGTTATTTATGTTACTCTATCTAAAACCACACAATTTTACTGGTCGAGGGGTGCCAGTCATCCTCGAGAATAATTGGTTAATCGCTAAAAATGACCAAATCATGTCAGGCTTCTAGAGAGTTTCTTTCAATTTCTGTTTACTCCAGTAACTCCGCCTTACGTCAGATGATTTTACTCAGCTTGAAGGTTGACTTGTAATCAGTTTTTCAGCAAATACTTTAATCTTCGGAAAGATCAGTTATGTTGCTAACCTTGACTTGATATTCGTCAAGAGTTAATAAATTATTAAAAATTTAGCATTAGAGACATTGATCACTGCATATGTCAATTTAGTCTCCTAACAAATACACAAGCTGGCAGATTCAAATTCCATTTCACAGCTACATGTAGAAAGATTTAATTTGCGTTTTAAATCGTTTCTATACAAGCTGCCAAAAGGACAACTACTTTTGGGCAAGTATTAATAGTTGGCAATATCAACTTTGCCATCTAATCTGTTATGATTATGAAATAATTGTACGTAGTTGTTACAAAAAAAATGTAGCAGAAAAACCCCAAATATTTACACCAGAATCCCAAGACGGAATTCCCTCTCAAAATAATAGACTAAACATCAATTTCAAAGCTACATTTTTTTGTTGTCTAGCTTTATAAACCCCGAATACACAGCACAAATACCTAGCAGGATTATTGAACAAATCATTGATGCGTTTTTGTAGTTTCGCCCGCGACATTTAAGCTTTAAAATTCGTACCTGAAAAACGGCGTCTACTTCGTCGATTATCGTGTTCATATAGGATACAATCGTGTCGGGAGTCAGTACTTCGTATGTAAAAATATCGTCGGCTCCACTCGCAGTGTTTGGCATATCGTAAGTCGAGTCGAAACCCTCGTCTGCATCAACGCCAAAATCGCAGCTATCGTCGCCCTCATCGTCTTCCTCCTCGTACGAAAAGTCTTCCTCGTCGCTGTCCATAAGCCGCTGCTTTTTTGAAGCAATTTTGAGGCTTTAAACGGCTCCAAACTGCCGGATTTTGCTCAATTTTTGTCTTTATGTTGTTTCGGTCTGCGAGAAGACGAGTTGTGGTCACATGACTAACTTTTTCCGGAAGTGACGTCACAATTAAGTAATTTGCGATCGTGTTGATAAGTGCTATTTTTGCCTGCCTGTCATTTTGGTATAAAAGCCTTGTACGCCGGGACAATTTACACCAGAAACTTCCGTCAGTGGTGGCTTTCACATGTAATGAAGTCAGCTCCTCAAACATTTCTTACAAATTCTTCAAAACTTATAACTCACCTTTGAAAAGCTTGGTTGAAACTTTGATAAGCTTGGTTGGCAATTTTGATTGTAATTCCGTACTCATTCCCAGACACATCTCTATACTTAGTGCCATGTTAATTAGTGGCAAGTTATCACAGAACTTCTTTTCCGCATCCGGCTCGAAGCACCAAATTGCCTTAAAAGAACTTCGAAATGAAGTTTCGAAATGCATTTATTACAAACAAGGAAAATATTTTGTAAATCCGGCGATGAAGTCAAGATGATAACCATTCATTCACCAAAGGATTGGCTTTAATTTTTTTAGCAAGAATCGCAGCGAGAATCAAACCCACTATCTCAGAGATAGCTCTGACGATACCGAAGCCCCCCACATTATTTTCGGCCGGCATATACAAAAACAAACTTCATACAGGAAGAAAGCATTTATTATTTGCCTACAATGATTGTTTAGTATCATATACTACATTGATATACACACTAATCACAATGAAATTTATTTCACTAGACTAAAGTTGTTGTTGTTTCTTGTTGTTGTCTTATCCTTTTCTGAATGACTTCACATCGCTCATTTCCTTCGCACTCGTAGCTTCAACATGTTGTTTGAATAATGTGTGGCCACGACTCACCTCCCAGTTGTCAGGGCGGGCCAAGGACTGAGAGTACGGGCGACCTGTGGCCGGCTCCAGTTTCTCCCAGTATTCACGGCCAGCTCTAAAGAAGAAAGACATGGTTAAGACGACAAGGTACGCGTCTTGAATTCGGAACCTCAAATTCGTCCGATTCCATTTTTTTCACATGGGTTTCAAGTCGTCCAAATTTGAGCACCGCTATAACAGCAAGGTTTACCTGGCTCGAACCCATGGTTTTGTGTGACATACGAGACTTTTACCCCATTCTTCATGTTTTTCTGCGCCAATACATTCACGACCTCGTTCTTTTGCAAGCTACGAAAAATAAAATCCAAAATAGTTAGCTTCCAGTTGTGGAGAGCTGGTTTAGCGCTAACCCTAGGTTAAAATTTAACCTAATATTTTGTTTATTTCAAAACTTTAGAGAATGAAACAAGTGTTGATCCAGACAAGATTTCTAGAGAAATATTTCCATGTTTGTATGAACTGTTGGGAAGATTGCGTTGAAGATTTTGTTAACCTACAAAACGGTAGTGCGTTCAAATCTGCGCGAATAAGGGATGGATAGTTAAGCCAAGTTTCCAAACGGTCGTAAAAATAGAGTCACGATCTTTCTCAACGACCAGTTTGTGATAGGTTATACCTGTAAACCACATATAAATCATAAGTATTCAAATAATTCTATTTATAATCACTCCGTGTATTTTTCAGAGTTCGAAGGGGTCCCGCTTACCCGGGATTCAATGAAGTGTGACGTATTTTGAGCAATTGAAATACGTGTTTCAGCCCTAAACAAAAGTTAGATAACTTTAAACATTGTCTAAACGAAAATAGGAACGCGCTAGGAGTTATGTGGTGGGAGACGACGATTAATAACATTCAACAACATTTGTTTTTTGTCTAAAACATGGAATTTCATACAATTTTTAACAAGCAATTTTGTCAGATCATGAAGTGCGACTTATTTTAATTGCTCAAAATAGTTCACACTTGATTGAATCCCGGGTAAGCGGGACCATATAAACAGTCCCTAAAATGTTGTATTTCGGCTGATGAGAAAGATTGTGACTCAATCTTTACGACCGTTACGATCATGTGGAAACCAAGCTTTACTGGACATTTGGTGAGAACAGTTTAGGAATGATAGAGCAATAACGCGAGTTTAGTTACCTCCTGCGCAATGGCACGGATATGATAAGGTTCAAAACCACAACATCCTCCGATGTAACGGACACCCAAGTCGTAAGCTTCACGAGCGTATCTGTGCATGTCCCATCTGGTGAGAATACGCGGTTCCAGAGCTGGGAATAAAGAGAGAAGAATGTCAGAGTACGCCATTCTACTTCACTCAAAACATTATGTGAGAGGCTTAAAATTGGTCTAACCAAAGTCATAAAGCTTTTTTCACACGTAATAAAAACGGCATTATAGAATGAAGAAATTAGAGATGAGAAGATGTGGTGGTATAGCGACCTTATGGAGGATGGGAGCGCGGCAAAAACGGTGAACAAATTCTGCAAACCAAATAATTGCAGAAGGGAACCTGTCGCCTATTCTTCATCGTGTGAAAAATAATACAGTAATAATATATTGAGGTTATAATTAACACAGTGTTTATGATCGATTGAGAAAAGTTATGGGACGCAATTGAAAGTAGCAGTTCTTGCAGCTTGATATGTAAGCGTTCTGTCATCTGAGGGGCATAGGAAGGATGGGGTGAGGGAGATTTTATGAAGGGGGCCCTGAATAGCTTTCACACACATCCCCAATCATTGAATTTTAAAAACTTGCGCTGATAGCTGACTAATAGATAGCATAGACTTGAAAATCATAATGAAAGAATTGATGAAAAAGGCCTAACGAAAGAGGTAGAGAAGTCACCGAGAATGCCATTTCAACAATCTAGAATATTTCTTTTAAAATGTTCCTGCCTTGGCACATCCACCCTAGTTTATGAAGCCTCCTCCAGCCCTGTGTCTGCAGATTTGATGAAGGGCATGGACCGGAACAGATGAAACGCAGAGGAACTTACCAAATGGAAATTCAGGTAGGTCAATAAATCCTTGCTTGCCACAGTCGGGCGTATGGAATGCCAATGGCTGAATCATTAAATGAGCTTTCAATCCTGCTGCATCTAAACCTTCTTTCATGTTTTTCACCGCTTTTAGACACACGAAGGGATCAAAATGACAGTTGATACCAACAATGTCCGCACCTGAAGACAATGCAATCAAGTTGTAACTACACAATGGCATATTGGAGGAATGACTGATGATGGTCACAGAAGGTGCATGCAGTAACCATTGTATCACCAACACAATGGGTTCAACCATAGTTAATAGAGGAGATGGTTTGGAAGCTCGTTAGCATTACAATAAAATCACAATAAATCTCATTATCTATGTTGTTCAGGTTTATGCAAAAATGTGGTCTTTCATCGTCACGTGCGTATTGTATTTTTCTCAAGTCAACCAATAGGAATGTTCAAAATGTCCTATTGTTAAAGTCATGGATGAGCAATTGGACAAAACCGTTGCTATTGGCTGGTTGACCAAAAATACAATACGCACGTGACAATGAAAGACCACATTTTTGCATAAACCTGAACAAAAACATAGATAGTGAGGTTTATTGTAATGCTAATGAGTTTCCAAACCATCCCCTCTATTAACTATGGTTCAACAGAATACTTACCAGCCTTAACCAAACGTACAGCACATTCGCCAGTCGGGACACCATGAATGTCACCCTCTGGGCCGATACACAGACTAGCTGCCACAGGTAGCCCAGTCTCTTTTAGTACTTCGACTGCCCACACTGCTTCTTCCACATGCTCAAAATACTTCATGGAAAAATTTATTAAAGATAGAAATTAATTGCAGAGACACAAACCAAGTTAGATTTTGTACAATATAGCATATATTTACAGTACAATCCATACCTCAGCTAGCAGGAAATCAGCTTTATTCTCGACAAAAACTTTGGTTTGTTTTCTGAATTCTTCCTGAACTTTTTCTTTGTTTCCGTCACTCAAATATGTTGGAGTCTGACTCAAACCACCCAGCCAAAGACACCCAAATTCTTTTGAAACTTGTTTGGCAAGATCACACGAGGCTTGGTTCACAGACTTGACCTAAAATGAAAATTTAGGATCATGAATGGAGTACATTAAGGACCATAGAGTATGGGTGAAGGCCACAGAACCTTTTTAGCCTTCTTTACATATGCTTTTAGAAAAACTTGAGCAACTTCATCTTTATTGGACTCAACCTTTTGATGATCATGGTTGAGTTTCAAAACTCAATTCAAGATTGGGGCTGTTGTATTAACAGCCATAAAAAAGCCTTACAATAACCTCAATTATAATCAGACAACTGAAAATATCAGGAATCAAAGCCAAGCAATCGATGATCACCACATGCATTTGAATGGTCACATTTATCCTGTAATATTAACAATAAAATCCTGAATTGTTAAAACCAACCCCTATTTTTTTGCCAGCATCGTTTCCTCGGTTATCTAGCTTGTCTTCACTGGCATAAAATGTGAATGCTTGCGCAATGTCTGATCCAGCACGACAGAATTCTCTGTGTAACTGCAGAACTACAAAATGAATGAGCAAAAATCAATTAATATTTACATAGCTTTAGACTGTATATATATAGCTCTATCAGTTCTAAACTGTTCTCCTTAGGAGGTCCAGTGACAGTGTTACTATAGGAGGAAACCTAAACTAAACAAACATTATTTATACTGGATAGCTCTATCAGTTCTAAACTGTTCTTCCTAGAGGTCCAGTATTAAGTGACATCTCATATTGTTCCAGTGTGATGACAGGAGGAAAAAATTAAACCAACTTTATTTATACTGGATAGTTCATACCAGTTCTCTTCAGAGGTGCTGTAACAGTTACAAGTCCTTATTGATGCAGTGTTATTATAGTACAATTGGAGAAACATTCCGATATAAACTATGGATAAGCTAGACTGCCAAATTCAAGAATATTGAATATACCTGCTTCAGGATGTTCAACTGACGCTTCAGGCGTCCACGGTCCTGCTTTGACGTAACCTCTCTTCTCTAACGCAAAAACAAACCCACCATCTCCGATGACGACCTCACCCGCATTCAGACGTTCAAGTATACCTCGCTAGATGAAAAATAATGTTCAAAAGAGGACGATGAATAAATACCTATTTCCACTGTGGGGGAAGTATGGGT